AAAGGGAGGGGCTAGGGCAGGGGAGAAAAGAGTAAGAGGAGTGAAGATGAGGTGAGGAGTCTAGGGGGAGGGAGATAGAACAAAAAGAGCCACTCAGTACAGAGCAGAGTCCAATGAAAAAGATGACTGAGATGATGATTGCAGAAAAATCTGAGGGACCGTAGGTACTCATAGACTCATAGACTTTAAGGTCAGAAGGGACCATTAGGATCATCTAGTCTGACCCCCTGCACAGTGCAGGCCACAGAATCTTGCCCACCCCTCTTAGAATAATCCTCTCACCTGTGTCTCAGATATTGAAGCCTTCAAATACTTTGAAGACCCCAAGATGCAGAGAATCCTCCAGCTGTGATCTGTGCCCAATGCTACAGAGGAAGGCAAAAAACCTCCAGGGCCTCTGCCAATCTACCCTGGAGGAAAATTCCTTCCTGACCCCAAATATGGCGATCAGCTAAACCCTGAGCATGTGGGCAAGACTCACCAGCCAGACACCCAGAAAGTTCCCTATAGCAACTCCTATCATCCCTCCATTGACCTATTTCCAACTGATAATGAATGGTCAATTAGTTACCAAGATCATGTTATTTCATCCAACCATCCCCTTATCATAGAATCATAGAACTGGAAGAGACCTCAGAAGGTCGTCAAGTCCAGCCCCCCGCTCTAGGCAGGACCAATCCCAACTAAATCAACCCGGCCAGGGCTTTGTCAAGCCGAGACTTAAACACCTCTAGGGATGGAGACTCCACTACTTCCCTAGGTAACCCATTCCAATGCTTCACTACCCTCCTAGTAAAATAGTTTTTCCTAATATCCAATCTGGACCTCTCCCACCACAACTTGAGACCATTGCTCCTTGTTCTGCCATCTGTCACTACTGAGAACAGCCTCTCTCCATCCTCTTTGGAACCTCCCTTCAGGAAGTTGAAGGCTGCTATCAAGTCCCCCCTCACTCTTCGCTTCTGCAGACTAAACAGACCCAAGTCCCTCAGCCTCTCCTCGTAGGTCATATGCTCCAGCCCCCTAATCATTTTGGTTGCCCTCTGCTGGACCCTCTCCAATGCTTCCGCATCCTTTTTGTAGTGGGGGGCCCAGAACTGGACACAATACTCCAGATGTGGCCTCACCAAAGCCGAATAAAGGGGAATGATGACATCTCTGGATCTGCTGGCAATGCTCCTCTTAATGCATCCTAATATGCCATTAGCCTTCTTGGCTACAAGGGCCCACTGTTGACTCATATCTAGCTTCTCATCCACTGTAACCCCCAGGTCCTTTTCTGCAGAACTACTACTTTACTGGTACAAAAGGTTCCTGGTTCTACTCCCATTCGCTAGAGTCTCTTGGCTGGTTTCTCCTCAATGTATAAGCAAACAATTAGTACAAAATGTACAAACAATTTACAAAAACCAAATATGACAATTAACTAATTATTAATGAATTTTCTCCCAACTACCCCATTTAAGTTAAAACCATACATTTCTTGGTCCTCCTGTTTCTAGAGAGGGGCTGGAAACACTGAGCAGTGGACTTTTGATAGAGGTAGACCTCTGTTCTACATCAGGCAGATTTTTCTCTTAAAAGCATGGCATCTTGTCTTAGAGTCTTCTCCCACAATACTAAATCTAAGACTCTCCTCCCCATCACCCCACTTTTTATTGCTCAGCTACCAGCCCATAGAAAGACAGGTCATGTAAGACATCAGCTCATGGATTGGTGATGTGGACACCTGACTACAGGACCAGAACACAGCCAAGACTGCCAATTATTTTCATAGGGTCTAAGTGGTCACCATATTTGAGGCCAAGAAGGAATTTTTCCCCACATTGGATTGGCAGAAACCTAAGGTTAATTTTTTTCCACTTCCTCTGCAGCATGGGGACATGGCTCATGCAGGTTTAGAGCAAGTAGTGAATTATCTAAGGGTGTGTCTACACAGCACCCTAAACTCAACTGAAAATTGCATATCTTATGTCAATTGAAACAAAGGTTACCGGGATGCCGAAATAGTGCACCCATTATTTTGAAAAATATTTCGAAATAACAGGCAGCTTGTGAAGATGCAGGTTAGCTATTTCAGGTATCCCAAAATAGCTGTGTAGTGTAGATGTACGCTGAGTTTTTAAACCATGATTTGAGGGCGTCAGTAATTCAGCCAGAAGTGAGGGGTCTATTTCAGGAGTGGATGAGGTTCTGGGGCCTGCAACGTGTAGGAGATCAGACTAGATGATCACAATGGTCCCTTCTGACCTTGAAATGCAGGAGTCTGCTGTCACACAGTCTACTGAACTAACACCAGACAGTGACAACTGTTGGTCATTCACCTGAATTGGATTTGAACCAGCCAACTCATAGGTAAAATCTCCATAGCCCATCATCACTTGTGAGTTATCACATCCTAACTTAGCAGCATCTTCTTTCTGTCCACAGCCATGAAATACCACAGGAAATTCAACACTCCAAACAGGTCAGGACAGGACAGGACAAAACAGCATTTTTTTCTAAAAAGTACCATCTTGAGGACAGTGGTCTGCTTCCAGCTTTGACATGTTAATGACCATAAAAAGAGCAACTGTCATGGGCCAAAATAAGACCAAAGTGATCCAGTTGCGTTAGAAATAAACGACAGTTGTTTCAGATTCCAATCAAGCGATTCTACTTGATGCAAAGCAGGCAGAAATAAGATTTGCAGCATGCAAGGGAACACACGCCACTCAGACAAGTGCAACAAGGAAACTAATTCCTCCAACAATAACGAGAGCACTGTAACAACCCTCACCGATAAGAGAAGGCCACAAGTGAAAATTCTACAAAACAAGCAGCTCATCTCCTCCCCACTCTCCAGAATGGAAGCCACTGCCTTCTAGGCAAAGAATGACAACATAGCCTGCATCTCAAGAGAGTGTGGTTTCATTTACAAATATCTGCCTTGTTTTAATGATTAGAAAATCTATTAGGCAACAGTAACAAGAAACATGCCAGTAAAGGGGCTAAAAATTATATGAACATATTCAACCTACTCTGCCCCTACTCTCTATTCTGTGCAGTGGTAGCAGAGTCAGAGATAGAACACACATGGGGACTGCTTTCCCATCCTCCAGCTCCCAATGAAGCCCAAACACCACCCTCCATGTCAAGGTGGAGAGAGAGAGAGAGGAGCATACATTGGCAAGGATGCACCCTCAGAGAGCCCTGACCCCCCTCTCCGCCCACCGCACCTGGCCTGGTGACTTCCGATTCCTTTCTTAGTTGTTCCCTGCTTGAAGCCATTTGAGGTGACATCTAGGGGTTGCTCAGGAACCGCACTCCAGCTGATAGCTGGGGAAAAAGATCATGTACAAGGTGATTCTCAGCAGAAAATCAAAACCACCAACATTGCAAATCAGAAGAGTATGTGATGACTATACACCACGCATCAGAATCATTCAGGCAAACCAGAAAGATGGCACATTCCTTCCCTCCCCAATAATCCACTAGATTTCTGAGACAGACACAAAAATTAGAGATAGCAAAGACCAATCTTGTCACATAAGGGCAGATTTCCGAAGGCATACAAGAACCTACTTGTAGGCACGCAAGGGGATTTTCAGAATGTATTTGCTTCTTTAGGCACCTAATTACCTTTACAATCTAGCCCATATTCTCTCCGGGTATGTCTACACAGCAAAGTTATTTCGAAATAACTTTCCTAGCGTCTACACAGCCAAACTGCTATTTCAAAATAAATGTGAAATAGCGCAGCGCTTATTTCAAATTTGGTAAACCTCATTCTACGAGGAATAATGCCAAATTCGAAATAGCTATTTCGAAATAAGTGCTGCATAGACACTTATTTCGAAATAGGGAGCCTCCAGCCTTACCAGGGTGCTCTGGTGGCTACTGCAGCCTCAACCAAGAGCACTCCTCTCCCTCCCACCCTCCCCGGAGCCCTTAAAGGGGTAGACGCTGGCCACAGTGCCTGTGCCAGCTCCAAGCCTTCCAGCCCAGAGCCAGCAGTCTCTGCTCCTGACCCAGTGGCCCCAAAACATGAGCCAGCAAGCCAGTGCCAGCCAGTCCTCCACCGCTCCCCAGGAGCAGTCTGCCCGGGCCCGGAGAAGGCTGGCGCTTTCCTGGTCCAGGGTGGAGATCATGGACCTTATTCAGGTTTGGGGGGGGGGAGGGTGCCCCCAACGTTCAAGATCTCCGCACTAGATGGAGGAACGCAGCCGTCTATGGCAGGATAGCTGCCAGCTTGGCCACCAAAGGCCACATGCGAACCCAGGAGCATGTTTGCATGACAATCAAGTTGTTTCGGCGAGACCCCCAACCCTGAGCTTCCCCTCCCCCTTCTTCCCCTTGCTTCCCCCTTCCGGCTCCCTCCTCCCAGGTTTCCCCTTCTCCTCTCCCACCCTCTCTTTTCCCCTCTTCTGCCTCCTTTCCCCAGTCTCACCAGAGTTCCATTCTCCCCCCCACCCCAGTTTTGTCAAATAAAGAAAGTTTGTGTTCATGAAAATACATGTATTTTATTTAACATAAGGAAGGGAGGTTAGGGAGGGGTAAGTGGAAGGACGTAAGGGAGGAATGAGGCACAAGGCCCCCAGTGGGGCAGACCAGGGAAGCTCTTAGTGCTCCTCATGGTGGAAGCTCTCCTGCAGAGCCTCCTGGACACTGACAGCCCCCCGATGGGCCTCCTGGATGGCAGCCTGCAGAAAGCGCAGCCAGGCTCGCAGCAATGTGTCCAAAAGAAGCACCAGAGTGCCCAGGGGCAGCTCTGGCTCCATGTTGCAGAGTGCTGTGGTGTCCCGAGTGAGGGCAACCAGAGCATGCAGAGACAAAATGCTTTGCTGTCCCTCATCAAGGTAGGCAAGCAAGCAGGGAAACCTGAGAACCGGCTGGCCAGGCGGGGGGTCCCTTTAAGCACAGGCCTCAGCCTCAGGCAGCAGCCACACAAAGTAAATCTTGACCTGATGCCCTGCCAGACATGGTTCTGGCCGGCCTTAAACACGATTTAGTGTCCACTCAGTGTGGACGCGCTATTTCGAAATAGCAAAAAGCTATTTCAAAATGCATTTTGTGTGTAGACGCGTTATTTCGAAATAAGCTATTTCGAATTAACTATTTTGAAATAGCTTATTTCGAAATAAGGTTGTAGTGTTGCCATATCCTTCCTCACAAGGCAGGAGAGTTTCCCCTCATGACACTGCCATGTTTTGGTCAAACACATGAAGTTCCCCAGACAACCAAGCTCTCTCTATTTGCTGGAGAGCGCAGATTACAGAATGTTCCACCTCATGGCAGAAGTTTAGCCAACTAATCAGCCTATATTCCTGCAGCAGTCTCACCTTCTGTACTCCCCAGACCACACTAAATCATCCCTCAACCTTTTTCTCCCTTTGAAATATCTGTCAACAGATCCTTAAAAGTTACAGTAGAAATTAGCCAACAAATGAAGGCTCAATAGGAGTGAGAAGACTTGATATTAACCCTGTTTCTACTCATCTTAGATTGTACGGTCTCTGGTGCCAGGCCTGTGTATTCCTATGAGTTGAAAGTGTGTGGGTGCTAGTGTAATATAAATACAGAAACAATAATGAACACTAATAATGTACCCAAATGGTCATTGCAGAGACGAGCTAAAACTCCTTTACTCTTTCTGTACAAATCTCTACAGCCTCACAGTAAGTTGTTTTTATTCATTTCTGAATTCCCTCTAATTGTTTTCTGTCTCCCTGGTAACTGGGTGCAGGTGTAGTTGCATCAAGCAGCATATGAACAGCCTACTGCCACTCAGCTCCGTGATGCAATGCCTTTGTGGGAGCAGCTAAAATTGCAATGGTTTCTTCTCTGCTGTACTGCAGTGCAAACAATTCTAGTCCCATCCTGGGTCTCTTGCAGCATTATTACTTCTAAGTTTCCTCTGTCCCACTGGCACGTGTGTTTCAGATTAGCTGTTCCCATATGAATCAGGTGCATTTTGTTATTTCCTGCGAATGTTTCTAATCTCTATTTTAGTTATTTGGAGTCCTTATCACTACAGTAGCTAAACATATTTCTCACTGGCATTTGCAGTATACTCTAAGATAGTGAATGTTACTAATATGCTGTTTCCCATTCTGCCAGTGAAGTCACTAAATAAGACCAATCCTAACATGGTTTGTACAGCGCTGCCATGTCTTCAGACCATGAAGGGCCTCGTGCCTCACGCAGGTCAGTTATTTTCCAAACATAAGTAAAACTCAAAACAGTTCCTCAGCCAATGCTGGGCTAGAGCTCCCAAGAGTTTTCCCTTTGCTTTTCTCAGTCCTTTCTGCTTCAAGTCCTCTTGCAGACTCTCTGCTGTGCTCCCACTTCCTTTGCAGACAACCTCTCTCTTTACAGCCCCAGATGCTGTCCTGATCTCTAACTGGTCATACTGGGAGCACCTGTTCTAGCACAAAGAAGCTGGACCTGCTTAATTTAAGCACCCATCCAACCTGTGGCATGGCTATTATTTTGTTTACAACTTCCATCAATTTTCCATTCCTCTGTCAGTATTCCTAGGCACATCTCCATTAACAGGGCTTGACAAATTATGGAAAACCCTACTCGCCAGACGGCACCCTCCCCCCTCAAAAAGTGGTTTTTTAATGGCATAAATTCCTAATAAGAATAAGAAGAGTAATTACTAATAAGTTATTAATAAATATCACCCAAGTTATTAATAAATAGCTTATAAACCTCTACCTTTTCCCTCTACTGCCATGTCTCCTCCCCTTGCTCCATCAGCTCCCCTGGTGCCTGCTGCCCCCCAACTCCTCACCCTCCCCTGCTGTCCTGACTCCTGCCCTTCTCACTGCCCTCAGCCTTCCTGAGACCTGCCCCCCTCCACCAGCCCTTCTCGCCTCCCTGTGCCCACTCTTCCAGTAGCACCATTCTGCTCATGTGAGCTACCCCTTCTCATCCCCGCTCCTAACATCTCCCTCTACACACCTGCCCTGCCTCTCTCCTCTGGTGCTGGTCCCTTCCCTGCAGGTGTCTGCCCTTCTGCTTCAGCCCCAGAATCCCCTGGCACCTGCATCCTCCTGGTGCCTCCCCCTTCCCTCACTGCCCCTGCCCCCTTTGCCCTCTTGTTCCCTGATACCCACCCCCTCACCATCCTCTGCCCCCCTTCCTCTCATGCCCCTGTGCCCTCACACGCCTTGGCCCCCTGGGATTTGTCTCTCCTCACCCCTGTCCCTTGTTGCCTTCCCCTTTCTTCTTCTCCTGACCTCCTCCACTCCCCTCCCCTCCGCACAAGCCCCTTCCCCAGCTCTAGGTTTTTTGCTGCCCCAAACAAAACATTTTTTGGCCACCCCCGCCCTTTTTTGTTGTCTTTTACATGTTTGCATTTTGCAATGGGGGGGTTTTTTGGTTTGTTTTCGTCCGGCCTTTTAGCCCTATAAATAGCAAATAGCATATTCATTCATTTTTTTCCATGAAGTCAAAGGCACTTCAAGTGAACTCCCCCTTTCACTGCTGCTGGGTCACAGCAGCCCTTTCCCTGCCCTGTCCAGCCCCTCCCTATGTAAAAGCACCCCTCACTCCCAGCCCACAGGGGGAGCAGGGTGCAGGGACAGCACAGAGCCAGAGGGGTACAGGGAACAGTGGGGGTGTACAGGGGTGGCACGGAGAACAGGAGGCACAGAGGGACGCAGGGATCGGGGGGAGCAGGGTGCGGTGGAGGCACAGGGAATGGGACACAGGGAACGGGAGGCGCAGAGGGATCGCGGTCTAGGGGCAGTGCAGGGAACTGGCAGCACAGAGCTGGGGGGGCAGGGATCGGAGGGAGCAGGATGCGGTGGAGGCACGGGGAATGGGAGGGGCAGAGGGATCAGGGTCTGGGGCAGTGCAAGGAACAGGCAGCACAGAGCTGGGGGGGCAGGGATCGGGGCGGGCAGGGTGTAGGGAGCAAGGGCAGTGCAGAGCTAGAGAGAGTCACAGGGAAGAGGGAGAGCAGTGGATCCGGGGTGCAGGGGCGGCGTGGGGACAAAGGGGCGTGGGGCAGGTGCAGCGAGCCAGGCGGTCAACAGGGAGCGGTCTCTCGCTGGTGAGGGGGCTGGGGCCGTGGCAGGGCTGGAGCCGGCGGGGCGGGGCCTGGCTGCGCCGAAGCCGAGCTGCTGCGGCCCTTTAAAATTGGCAGAGCCACGTCCTGCTGGCATCCCGCCCTCTGGCTCGCGCCCCGCTTCCTTGCGCCAGAGCTAACGCAGGCACCCCGGTGGCAAGAATCACCACACTTCCCCCTCCCCGGTGGCTCTCTGCTCCTCCGCTGGCCGGCAGATCAGATGGGGCTGCGCCACCCGTAGTACGGGCTTCGGCCAGCCCGTCACAACGGCCCACCAGGCCAGTCTGCCCCTGCAGTCACCAGCTGGGCAAATTAGTTTTCAACTAAGCCAGAAAAGTACATGGCAGCAGATGGTACGTGTGTACCGCACAGATGGAAAGAAGTGACATATTACACGTGGTGGTGATATCCATGTAACACTTTGCAAAGCCCTAAGAATAAACAGTGAAAGCACACACACAATGACCTGCTTCTCTCTCTCACTGCCACTTATGAAGAAGACAGACATCCCAGAGCCATGCCAACAAAATGTTCACGTCATACTCCTTTATTCTCTCTCTCTCTCTACAAATCTCCAGCTGGAAAATGATTCTGATCCAGCATGGCAATTCCTACACCAACTAGAATGCATAACTGAAACAAGGACATAATCTTAATGGTAATCCTTGTGCTTTCCTTACCTTCTTAGTCTTCACTTCTTATCTGTTGTTTATAATCAGATTGTAAATTCTTTGAGGCAGGGGTTCCCAAACTTTTTGACACGGGGACCAATAAATTCATTCACGAGCTTTTGGAGGACCGGTAACAGTCACTTGCATATTTGCATATTCAATAAGCAAATGATGAATATTCAAATAAGTTGTTTCTGGTCCTCTCAAAGTCCCCAGTGTCAGTGTTAGCAAAGCTTTTGATACAGTCAACCCACAATATTCTTGTCAGCAAGTTAAGGGAATATGGATTGGATAAATGGACTGTAAGATGGATAGAAAGCTGGCTAGATCAGGGTTTTCCAAACTTTTTACTGTACTTGGAACCTGGTTTTTTTAGTACTGTCTTTTGCAGCCCAAAAATATAAACGCATATTAAAAAAAAAGAATGAAAAATGAGTAAATTTTCAGTGTTTCACCCGGCTGCATCCTCCACCCAGCTTGGGTCAGGGCTTGGGGGACCCGGCGCCACAGGAGCACTTCAGGAGGCGGGAGCAGGAGCAGATTGGGGGCAGGGTATCTGGCTAAGAGGGAGGGTGCAAGAAAGGACAGAGTTGCCAGCTGCCCGGTTTTCTACTGGACAGTCCAGTATTTGAAGGTTGTGTCTGGGAAAGAAATTGAGAAATTACCAGACATACAAAATGCCTGGTATTTTCTAATTAGGTAGGTTTTATTATAATTAGGTGTATCAGTCCTTAGGTGCCTGGCTGGTAGATGTGCTCACGCTGTCTGAGTGTGTCTACCTGCCAGGCAGTTCGCAACTACTCCAGGGAGGGGGCAAAATGGAATCCCCAGACAGACTCACTTGTCTGCCAGGGTCTGCATGTGCCCAGGTTAGTCCCCCCACTTTCTCTTCCCGATCCCCCCAGTCCAGCCCTGCTGCTCCCATCCGGCCCTACTTCCCTGGCTGGTAGATGTGCTCACGCTGTCTGAGTGTGTCTACCTGCCAGGCAGTTCGCAACTACTCCAGGGAGGGGGCAAAATGGAATCCCCAGACAGACTCACTTGTCTGCCAGGGTCTGCATGTGCCCAGGTTAGTCCCCCCACTTTCTCTTCCCGATCCCCCCAGTCCAGCCCTGCTGCTCCCATCCGGCCCTACTTCCAGCGA